TATTAACAGGCTCCTGAGGCTTCTTGGCCTGCTTGTTATCCTGTTTATTATCCTGGCACACTGTGAGCGATTCAGTCATGGGATGCCGTGTGACATTCGTGGTCATCATTAAAATATATATATAATACAATCCCAGATATCATCATCGAGTAGGTATATATCCTGACCGACTCGCTCTGCTCATTCTCCTAGACACATGAATAGTCGGAAGGGAAATACCCGCTTGCTCATTATATGGATTTTCCGAGTCACCAGCCTTCTTCACGTCCCTCACCAAAACTCGAAGAGCGGGAATGCAACACGCCGTCATTGTTACTGTTGCTTCTGTCACGTCCCATATCATGGCTTCTACTCCGTCGTCTGTCATCAATCATTATTAGCCTTTTCGGTTTTTTTTTGGTTTTTTTTTTGCCTTGTTGTTGGGTTGGTTGAAACTTACACAAATCTCCACCGAGAAGTGCCGGTAATTTGATGCATTTAACAATTGCAACCACTCCAGCAATAACACTCATGCTCATGGCTATTAATATCCCCCATTTTTCTGTCTTCTTGAGGGACATTCCATACAAAAAAGTCCAGGGTATAACGGCCAAAGTAAAATCGATTGCAGCCGAATATCCTCCCGTTGCCATCCAGAGTTTATTGAGGGCGTCCAGCGGCCAGCATTTCGCTTCGATGGTCTTGTCCCATGATGCCTTGACGGGGGTGCATTGAATCCAAGGGGCGATGGCGCTGCCGCCCATGGCGATGTTCATCGTGATGATGAGGAACCAAAGTAAATGTTTTGTCGGACCCTCGGTAAGTCGAAGTAGCGTTACCGCGAATGAAGTCTTTGCCCAAACGATAGCAGTGATGATCAAGGATCCTCTCGCGCCGATCGTGACCCAGAACTTTTTGTGGTCGGCGATTTCCATCTCCCAGCTATGTCTGCCGAGCTTGAATTCCGTGACGAGGATGGTGAGGACGACATCATTGGCGATGATTACTGCCCAACAGGCGATGAGGATATAGTCGTCCCACCAGAGGGTTCTTCTCTGGTTTATTCTCTTGCATGTTAATCGAAGGATGATGAATACTGATGCCAAGACTGTCAGTCCCCAGGACACGTGGAGGAGTTGAGGGCCCCTGTCATCGTTGGTTTGAGGGTAAAGTGGTGGTGGTGGTGCAAACTGCTCTGCAGTTGCCATGGCCCATTTGAAAGGGGGGAGGGGGAAAAACGAGCGACAATTATATTAAAAAAAAAAAGAAAATAAAGGGGAAAAAGAAGGAAAGGATCTGAAAGCTCCTGGGAGTGGAGAGGAGGACAGACAGACATTTTGGTTTAATTGTTGAGACCACCGAAAAACCTGGTTTCAACTTTGAACGTCCTTGGGTTGGTCTTGGAAATCTCTGTGCGCAGGCTTGATCGGTAGGGATTGGCAATGAGGCTATTCCGGATTCCAATTTCCGACAGGTCCGCATTCGTCAATTTTTCTGGGGTCAGTGGAGTAATGGTGATTTTTTTCGATTTTTGTGCATCTCGATTGGGTCTAATCTCGTTTAGTCTGGGAGACGGTTGGTCTTGGCTGGTGGTGCTAGGGGTGGGTGAATGCAGCTGAATGACGGCGTCGTCTTGTGAGTCAAATAGTGGGCGCGTGAGTGTTTGAGGTGGTGTTACAGGTGTTTTTTTATTTTCATGCAAAAAAAACAAACACACCGCATGGTTTTGCCAAGATGGTTGACAATTGCCGTTGACGTTGTTGTCGGGCAAACCAAAATTCCGGGATTGAAGGAGTCTGCAACCTGCATGTCGATCTGGCGATCTTACCAGTGGAGTCCTTGTTTTTTGCTGTCTCTATTTTCAGAAGGTATTCTCCGAAATCTCCGCCATTTGTAGGGCTTAGGACCGCCTTGCGCAACAATCTGTTTTTACTTTTCGAACAAGGGATCCTTATTTCTATCTTAATCTGTATCAACTCTTTGCTTTTCAAATTTTCTTGATATCAGTAGTCGTTTAGTTGATGACGGGATTCAGATTGCTGGATCATTGCCGAAAACTGCGGCCTCGGGCGGTGGTAACATCGGCCCGAGGCGCTTACATAAAAAGGCCAATATCAATGGACTAACACGTGAAAGGTATAGTATAGTCAATCACGTCAGTAATTCAAGAGAGGTTATCTGATGGGGAGACGAGGTCATCCTGCTTGAGGCAACAAGAACCGAGTGGCTTCGGAGACTCTGGAATCCGGCTGCCTTGAACGAGGGCTTGGATGTATCTCGGCTACTGGCAACGAAATACCAAAAGCCTAGCGTCCAGGTACTACACCGCTTGTAGAAGTGGGATTGTGATGACTGTGGGCCGCCCGTTTAACCGTTGTTCCCGCCACAAGCGAGAAGTCTGTGGTTTTCACAGAGGTGATAGCCTGTGCCTCGCTTGTCGTCTTTGTTGCCTTCATCTCGCCGAGGCAACCAAGCTCGGTCTGCTATGCCGGACAAAACTGAGGACAACAAGACCACCAGCGGAGGTATGATTCTAGTCTCCAAATCAACTCATGAGCTTCTAATCTGGCGGCGTCTGGAAGATATCTTGATGTAGAGAGTATAACAACAGACGACACTATCGATATCTCAACCCCAGACTCCAGTACCACCTGAAAGGCATGTTTATGATCACACATCGCGGTCACAAACGTTCAAAGCCACTTCCACCTCGTTGGACCATACCCACCACTTCCAAAAGGAAGGCACCGGTGAGAGTCGAATCCCCACTACGAAGTATACTAACCAAGGCAGGCGACCTAGGACGCGGGGCCCAATAATGGCTTGACATGGTGATTAAACTCGGACACCCGGACTCCGGATTCGGCCTTGTCGGAGGTATTCAAAATCCGTTCCCTACCGGTTATACATTTGGTGAATTAAAGCTTGGCCTTTGGCGGTTGAAGAACCTCAACGGGGATGATATATTTACTATTAAATCCATTATTTTAGCTTTTTTTTATGGGGGCGGTTTTCTGCTACTCTTTTTCTCTTTTCTCCCCCTTTCCCCTTTGCCCTTTTTTACCTAAGGAGAAAAAACCATACTCCGCATCTGTTATCACTCCATTCCCAAAATAACATCACCTCTCCACAATAACTCTAGCTCATTATTTCGAAGATGAAAAGAATATAGAGCATTGGTTATAGAATGTCTTTGTGCGGCAGAAAAGGTGTTGTGAAGGGATTCCTGATTGGTCGTTGGGCCCGACTTGATTTAGGAGGGAAATAAGGTACGGATAATGTATGCGATTGAAGGGCCTTTGTCTTAAATAGGAACTGAAAGATGCAATCTTGGTCCCGACTGTATTGAATAAAGAGTTGTTATCGGAGAGAAAAAATTTGCGAGGACAAGAATTAGTCATGTTTATCTATCAAGCAAAAAGTAAACAAAACAAAAAAGGGGGCAAGTGACATCATACCAAACTCACCCTACCAACAAATATTGCCAAGAAACCCCTCGACAGAGAAACCACCACCTTTGAGCTTCGAAACATCCAAACAACTCATTCAACCCCAAAAAGATTTATTATCCAAAAAAAAATCTCATACAACCGCAGATGCCCCCACAAATGTCTTCTCATCTCCTACCGCCCCGAAAAAAAATAACTGAAGAATCTTGACCTCAACCACTCGAACCCTCTCATCCAGTCCAAAAAGATTGGGCGACCCCGGAATCGAACCGGGGTTTCTTCGGTCGTCATGTATCGGTGGCTTGCCGAACCACAACGAAGCGTCCTGACCACTAGACTAGTCACCCTGTCGTGAAGTTGTTAATCCCTCTTCCGGGACTTTGGTATGTACATGATGTTTCTCGAATTTGATTTTAGAATAATTCCGCTCCATAACAATGATGCCTTTATCCTGATTAGACAGAAAGAACTCTTGAAGCACACTTTCTTTTTTCTTGTTCCTGTATAAATTTTTTTATCGCATTACATCTGAATAAATGTGTAATTTTTGAGCTTCTGGTTCCTGCTTGACTGCTGATTATTCCCTCGATTATCCCCCCCTCTGAAGCTCCACACCCGAATCAAGCACACCCATGGTACACTCAACAAAACCCTTCAATACGCCCACAAAAGAGGAAATCCCGCATCCGCTTTCCAACAAATTCTCATCGGAAACCATTCCTTCCTCCAATCGGGTATGGTGTAGCGGTAACATCGTTGACTCTCACTTCTCAGAAGTGATATGTTCTCTCAACAGCCCCGGGTTCGACTCCCGGTATCCGAGTATCAACACATTTTCTTTTTTTGCTTTGCTTTTTCCTTTCAATCATCACTCCAGACATCTTCCTCTCCATTGTCATCGGCACTCGAATCAGTCACTGCATGTTGACAACAGTTGCCACAGAAATGAACCCCCCGATCGGCAGACTCATTAATAATCTCCTCGGCCAGTGCAGCGGCCGTGATTCGTTTTGTCGGACCAGGACGTAGCATTTTGAGTGCCCAGTCGAAAGTGATATTACTCGTGGAGGCGAGAGTCGTCAAGTAGGTTTGCGTGATGGTGGAGGATATTAACGAAGTTGCCCATGGTTCCAGATTGTCGAGATTAGCGTGAAAGCTGCGGGTGTCCGACTGATCATAAAATGCTCGCGCAAGTCCTTCACGGTGCGGCCATGCAGAACGGTCGCCATCTCATAAAAGACACAGCCGAGAGACCAGACATCCGCTGCTTCGTTCCTACTCTCAACGCGCATGACTTCCGGGGCAGTATAGCCCAGAGTCTTGCCGGAGTCGGCTATCGTGGTGGCCCGGGTTAAATGCTCCCAAGAGAAGGCAATTCCAAAGTCAGCGAGGAACACCTCATCGCCTCGTACAAGTATGTTCTGGGGTTTGATATCTCGGTGTCTAATCTGTTGACCATGAAGATACGCCACAGCCTCTGCCAGACAACCAAAAAAAGCTCCGTAAAAGTGTCAACTTGTCCGAATTCTTGGTTTTAGATGCTACGTCGTAAAATACTTCGAGACTGTAGTCTCCTACAGGGTCCATAAGAAGGCCAAAGTACTTGGGGTCAGAATATGTGGCCACCTGTTGTCAATGCTCGGTCAGCATCGCCTAATCTTCCAGGTTGAAATGAATACGTAGTGACCAGTCAGAACTTACCAGTGACATGCAGTGCTTGTGCGATGTTCTTTTCAGGATATCGAGTTCTGTCATGAAAGTCTGCACATTCTCCCTCCGGAGACCCTTGGTCTTACTTTTCTTGAACAGCTTTCGTGCATAAATCTTGTGTGTCAATGTGCTAATGACCTTGTCAACCGAGCCGTGCGCTCCAAATCCAGAGAAGCATATGAAAGAAGAACGATTGCCCTTACACACTTCAAGGCGATGAAATTGACGGTTGAGACTGAGCGTAACGATGGGATAACAGAACATCAGTTCGTGACAAGGGCGGCTGAGCTGGCAATGAACAAGTTGGTAGTGGCAGCACAATTAAATGGGGATGAGCGTATGAGAAGTCGGCGCTGCTCTGGTTTGTTCGAGGACGAGCCTGTGTAGGTGGAGTGGCGACACTACGAACCGATTCTCGGGATTGAGAGCAAAGATGAGGATGAAGAAGATAATGTACCGCCGCCCTTTGTCGAAGATCCCATCTCAAAGATGGCAAAGTTGCTGAGAGATGGAGAAAAGCCAGACGAGTTTCGGGTGCCGCAATGCCTCGGGTACGTTCGAGATTGAGGGAGTGTCGGTTGGGTTTCGTCTTCCTCTCTGGCCCAGCTTCAAAAGACACTATTCCAATTTCGCTGTTAGATATGCTCTCGACCCAGAAAAAGCCCTCTCTGACGTCGCGGATTCGTATTGCAGCGCTTGTCCGCTCTTCGATCTGGTATCTGCATTCGACAGAGTGGTTGCACAAAGGGTTGCGCAGTGAGAACACCGTGTTTCCGGTCTCAGAACCATTCTCATCGACCCTGCCAATGCTCTGCGGGTTTGACTACTCTCGTCCGGCGGATATCGATGAACAATCTCGGAGCGACCGACCGAGAATCGTTGGCACGACTTGTATCGGCATCCCAAAACACAGTTTGATAGTTCTCGAGAGGGGCGCAACGGGTTTCACAAAAACTACGACATTTACAGTATCGGTGTTGTGCTGATGGAGATGGCGGTTTGGAAACCTGTTCATGGTATCCTCGGGATCGATCCTGCTCAGAGATTGAAAGCTGCGACGGTGAAGGGGGTGCAAGCAGAGTTGCTGGCGCAGGATAAGTTGGATGACGTCGAAGCTGAGGCAGGATGTGTGTTTGCGTCGGTGGTAAAGACTTGTCTGTCGAGCGACCTTGGCAAAGATGCCGATCTGCAACTTTCGTTCTGGGAGAAGGTTGTTGATCCGTTGGAGAAAATTGCTGTCTAGGGGGGCCATTATTTTTAGGCCAGCCTGCTGGCAATCTTTCAATTCAAAGTTTTGCTTCAGCGAAGGCAGGTACGACCAGGTCAACTAGTTCCCCATGATGTGGTGTATGTTATCCTTGAAGGATGGAGCACATGATATACACGTGATACCAAGACCGGAAGACGGTGAATCCTTGTGATGACAAAGTGTTATGATCCGAAACAAACATCAAAAATTACATTAAATTTGACTCCTCAACAAACTGCCACAACTGCCAAGCCAATATCTGTCCCAAACCCACACAAGTCACAATCTCCGGGCCGATTCCGCAATCGACGGGATATCCCCACTTTTTCCGTTTGTCTCTCTCCTCTCTTGCCTCTTCCCTGATTTCATTCCGACTTCCATCTCTCCCTCTCTCTCACCTTTCACACACCTCTTCTTCTTAGGTATTGCCTTTCACCCTCACCCCTTTTCAATTCCAAAACAAGCAAAATGACAGGAATCGCCCTCCTCGGCGCCGGCATCTTCGCCAAACAAGGTACTTCCCCCCTCTCCCTCCCTCCAAATACCCTTCAACTTCAATGACGTCATCCATTCTAACTTTTCTTCTCAGAACACCTTCCCGCAATCCTCGCAACCCCCAAATTCACCCTCCTAGCCATCTACTCCCGCAGTCGCACCACCGCTGAATCCCTCCTTGCCTCCCTCCCTTCCTCTCTAACTCAAAACATTTCCATCTATTATTCCTCCCCTCCAACTGAAGGGAAATCCCTCGAAGACCTCCTAGCCCGCTCCGACATCCAAGCAGTTGATATCGCCCTCCCTATTCTACATCAACCTGCTGTAATCGAACAGTGTATCAAAGCAGGAAAACATGTTCTTTCGGAAAAACCTGTTGCGGGGGATATCGTCGATGCAGCAACACTGATTGGTTGGTATTATGGGTTGGGTGAGGGGAAAAAGGCGCTGTGGGCTGTAGCAGAGAATTTTAGATATATGGAAAGTTTAAAGTTTGCTGGAGAGAAAGTAAAAGAGTTGGGGGGGAAGTTTTTGACGTTTAGGTTGGAGAGATATGGATATGTGGAGGCTGATAATAGGTATTTCAAGACTGAGTGTAAGTATTTTTTCTCGTATGGAATGTGGATTTGAGGAGGTTGCTGACAAGGAATAAATAGGGCGCAAGGTTCCGTCTCATCAGGGTGGTTTCCTCCTTGATGGTGGTGTGCACTTCATTGCTGGGTTGAGATACCTGCTTGGTGCTGCTGGCCAGGAAATCAAGCAATTGGCTGGGTTCAGTGGATTGTTGGAGGAGAGACTTGTCCCGGTTGATACTGTTCATGCTGTGGCGCTCACCAATGAGGGTAGGAGCGGAAGTATTGTCTTGACATTTGGCACCGAGTTCAAAAATGGGTTGGAGGTTGAGATTATCACAACCAACGGCACCGTGACTTGGAGTCCTACGGGTGTCAAGGTTGTTGCCAAAAAGGCTGACGGGAATGGAAAGGAGGAGACGACAAAGGAGTTTGATTGGAGCTCTGGAGTTACTCCCGAAGTTGCTGCATTTGCCCAGGCCATTGAGGATGGTAAGGTGGCTCCGTTGCAGACTCCCGAGGAGGCGCTCAAAGACCTGGAACTTCTCCAGAGACTTCTTGAGTCTGGGGCTGCTGGCGCGGCATTGAAATTGATCGGGGCTTGATTCGCATGCGTCGATTCAATTTACCATGATCTCCCATTGCATAGCTCGTTTTCTAAAACCCTTCCACTCCTAAGAAACCCTAGTAGGTACAGATAGGCACTGGTATGCCGCTATGTGGAAACTGCATGTACTCCCGCACCAGCAACCGCCAAAAACAACAGCACAACCACACCAGCCTATATCTAAAAACCCGGCAAAGTAACCCTCGGTCTATTCAAATAACATATACACGCACTGGTGACTCTCACCGCATTAGCTGCGCAATTCGCCAAAACACTGGAAGAAATTCCCGAAGCAATAACTTGTTGTTCATCGCGTGGGACGATAATGCTTGTTTGGGCGGTGGTGGTAACCAAGCTATCAAATAAAACGTCAACAAATACAACTCGCAACATCCACAGAGAAAAAGGATTGATAACTCACATCCGTACTGTTGATGTGATGACTGGAAGTAACTGTTGTCACGCGTGTTACTCTTGATATAGATGTCGACCTTGCCGTCGCTGTAGCGATCGCTGGCCCACTACCACCGGCGCCATCGGCGCCTAAACCCAGGTAGGTAAAACAATATGCTCGACCTAGGTTAGTGCCTAGGTTGACGACCTGGAGGTAACAACCGTCGTTGGTACAGGCTAGATGCGATGTTAGAATACTCATATCATGTTACTTTATACGGACGAAGGGACTCACTGGTTTGCACTGCTGAGAAAACAACA